AAGCCACATAATAAAAAAAAATTAATTACCAGGTGTAGTATTGCATAGGCCTTTAATTCCAATACTCAGAAGGCAGAGACAGGCAGATCTCTGTGAGTTCAAGGTCAGCTTGTCTACATAGGGAGTTCTAGGACAGCCAGGGCTATATAGAGACATCCTGTTTCAAAAAAAAAGTTTTAATTAATTGATTAATTAGTTATTTTGAAACCAGCCTGGTCTCCATAGCCAATCCCAGGCTAGTCAAGGGCTCCATGAGACCCTGTCTCCCAAGGAAACGTGAGTGTTAATTAAATTTTTTTCAAATGTCTACTGTGAACTGTGTGTGGTGGCTTGTTAATTTTGTGTTTGACTTTTAGACCTCATCACCAATTATCAGTTGCATATGGTGTGAGGCGGGTTCAGCTGAATGACTGGCCCTCGGCCTAGGCATCATTTATAATATAGCTTGATGTGGTTCTTTCTCCCCTTCCACTTCTCACCAGGGTGACCTTCGGGCTGGAACTTTTATGACACAGATGACCACTTCCTTCTCGAAACATTTACTTCCCTTACCTTCTCTCACTGGGCACTGTCCTGGATTTCCTTCTGCTGCCTCTCTCTCTGTCTCTCCCCCCTCTCTGTCTCTCTCTGTGTGTATCTGTCTCTGTGTGTGTGTGTGTCTCTCTCTCTCCCTCAGATCAGGAGTTCGGGGTCAAGTAGGTCTCTCTGTGAGTTCGAGGTCACTATGGTTTATCAGTGAGAGAGAGGTCCAGGCCATCTAGCGCTACACAGTAACATTCTGTCTCAAACAAAGAACAACAGCCATAAACCCTCCTCGGAAGCACGCTTGGAGTCCAGTCCTTTGTCCCCATGCATGAAGGACAATCTCTCATGACGCACGAGCTGAGGGCCTGGCACCACATTGTCTCCGGGTCCCAGGAGACTTGGCTCAGATTCTGTCAGTTTCTGGGCTCAAGGTGTTTCTCAGAGACGGCCAGGCTCCTGGCTAACAGATGGGCCTTTCAGGCGCCATTTAGCTTCCCTTCCCTTCAGCCAGAAACGGGGGGCGCAGCTCACCGATGCTCAGCCCCAGCGAGCAGGTCCCCACAGACCCAGGCTCTGTGCATCCTCGGGCTTGCTTGGCACACGGATCCGCGGATTTTCTCTGTCACAGCAGCCCACTCTCTCCTGAGTCCCCACCGCAGGGGACGGAAGCACCACCTCCCTATCTCTCTTGCCTCCTCTCGGCTCACGCCTAGCACCCCAGATGATGCTCAGCACCTAAGAGGTCCTCAGCAGTTACTGGATGACTGAAGTGATGCATGGTCCATAGCAAGTCATGT